TCATCATTGATGTTTCTCTCTCTCTCTCCCTCTCCTTTCCTCTCTCTGAAATCAATAAAGATATATTTAAAAAGAAAGAAAAAGAAAAAGGAGAATTGTTCAGTCCCCCACCTGAGCTCGACATTCCGGGTACAGAGAACATGTCAGGGCAGAGAGCACTGGGGATACTACACAGCTCAGGCCTGAAAAGGAATATTAGCCACAGAGAAGGCCAAGGTTGGAGGGGCACACACACCACGCACTGAGCGAATGCTCTGCGGGCATTATTCCACTCCACCCCCAACCCTGGTGGGCAGGGGCCGTTAGCATCTCCATTTCACAGATGGGAAAACTGAGGTTGAAGAAGTTAAGCAGCCTCTGCTAGTTCACACATGAGCAATGGACGGGACTTGAGCCCAGTACTCTGGCGCCAGGACTGGGCTCCAAGCCTCTCCTCGGGCTGAACATGGGGCACCGCCCGCTCTAACCTTTCAGCCTCGGCCCCAGTCTCACACCCCTTCTCCGCTGCATGTTTCCCTCTCGCACTCATCACTGACACGTCATACGTTGTACCAGCTTCCCTGGGGTCTGTCTGCTTCCCCCATCTGTCAGTTCTGTGGGGCCCACCGCTCCTCTTGCCCACTGCCTGGCATGCAGTGTGGCTCAGTCAGGATTGCTGGCTGGATTAGTGGAGGCATGGACAGGCAGGAAACCTACCTGCAGCTCAGGCTCCGACCACCCAGTGAACAGTGGCTCCCCCTCTCCACCAAGTGCCCCCCTTTTCCTGCCATGGTGTGCCCCCAGTGGTCTGAGGACCCTACACGACCTGTTCCTCTCTCCCCACCGCCCCTAGCTCTCCCCACTCCGGCCTCCCTGCTGTTTCTCCAACTGGCCTCAGGGCCTTTGCACCTGCTAGATTAGCCCTCCGCCTGGGACGTTCTTCCCTTGGGCATCTGCAAGACCCAGTCCCTTACTTACTTCAAAACTTTGCTCAAATGTCACCTTCTCAGTGAGGCCAACCAGGATCCCCTATTTACAGCTGTGGCAAACCCCCTACACACACCCCTGCTCCCGGCCCCCTTTACACAGCTTTGCTTTTACGTTTTGCTTTTTAACATAAGATGTAATTTGCTTCTTAAGTACGACTATTATTTGGTGCCTGCCTCCCCCGTCTGAAGGTCAGCTTTGTGGTGGGGGGGAGGGGACTTCTGTCTTGTTCACACTTGAGTCCCAGGGGGGCACACAGTAGGGATCCCTACGTGTTCAGCAAATGAATGGTGCTGGTGGGAGCCATTTGTAACGGAAAATGAAGACAATTAATCCTGCCCCTCAAGACGCACTCCATAGTTACGCCCGCAGCAGCGCTGTGTTATAAACTGCCACTTGCTAATCAATTTACTGCGAAATAAAAGATCAGTTCAGGCTGGTGTCTCTCTGAAGGAGAAGCCGCATCCCAGGGGCCGCTCTGGACTTGCAGCCGGTACAGGGAATATATGGACTTGCAGCCGGTACAGGGAATATACGGTGAGGCCCGCAACGTAGAAGGGCGGGGCCCTCCGCCCCCTCTAATTGCCTCTGACAGCGCCCCCTCCTCGGGCTGCACCGAACCCTCCCCCAGCCGCCAGCACCCTTAATGGTTTTCTCTTTCTGTGACTCTGGTCGGGGGGGATGCAGCTTTCCAATCACACCAGCCTCAGTGTACTCTGTTTCCTAGCAACAGCCATAAATCAACAGAACATGCTGGAAGGTTGCAGCCTGGCTGTTAGACACTTTGGTCTTTTCTAATCCAAATGTGCTCACCTGCCCACCTGCCCCCACACGTCCTTTGCAGCCACTTCTCCTTCACCAGCTCCGCAGAGCACCAGGACTCGGGCACGCTGAAGCTACTGCCGGCTTGTTGGACTCAGCGCGAGTCTTGGTGCTTTCTTGGCACTGTGGGCAGCACCCAGGAACAGGACCAGGCCTGTCCATCCAGCCTGAACGCTGCCAGGTCGGCCCCACAGCCAGGGGACCTGCGCCGGCCTTGTGAGTAGCTTGTCGACATAGTACCCTGGCTGGGTCCCTACGGAATGAAGTCCTTTCCTGGGCGCCCTCACCTTGGAGCCCATCCTACACTCACGCATTCATTCCATCATTCAGTCGCTCAACAAACAGTCACAGAGCACTTTCTTGGTGCCAAGCCCTGTGCAGGCCCTGCAGGCAGAGGAACACGGCCTTTGGCCCTCAGAGTTCGCATCCCACCGGGGAGGGGCTGCCCAGAACCCAGCAGCACGACAGCCGCCTGCTGCCCAGGCCGAGGCCACACTTGGTGCAGGGACTCAGGCTGCAGGAGGCAGCAGGACAGCCCCGTCCCAGACCCGAAGGGCACAGCCCACGGGGGAGGGGGAGGGACAGAAAGCAGGCAGTGCTGCAAACACGGGGTGCACAGGCCACGCCAGAGGAGGGCCACCTGACCGGAGAGGCCAGGAGAGAGGCCTTCTAGAAGGAGGGGTCACCTGTGCTGAGTCTCAAGGACCAGACACATGGTGGGGGCTGAGGACACAGTGCTGAGTGATGGCTGGTCCCATGTGGGTTGAGCGGCGTCCCTGCCTGTCCCTTGTTTTCCCAGCGAGGGACAGGCACAAGGTCCCATCTGGGCTCATCCAGGCCGTGGCGAACATCAGCTAGAGGAGAGGGTGTCTGAGGCTTTGAAGTGGCATCTTCCCAGGAGAGAGAGCGGTTACTAAGCTCAGTCTCTCCTCTGCACAGTGTATCAGTGTCCCCCACCACACCATCAGCACCACCACCACCTCCACCTCCACCATGACTATCACCGCCACACCATCACCACCACCAGCAACACCATCACCGTCACACCATCACCATCACCGCCACACCATCACCATCACCACCACCACCACCTCCACCTCCACCATGACTATCACCGCCACACCATCACCACCACCAGCAACACCATCACCATCACACCATCACCATCACCGCCACACCATCACCATCACCACCACCACCACCTCCACCTCCACCATGACTATCACCGCCACACCATCACCACCACCAGCAACACCATCACCATCACACCATCACCATCACCGCCACACCATCACCATCACCACCACACCATCACCACCACCATGACTATCACCGCCACACCATCACCACCACCAGCAACACCATCACCATCACACCATCACCATCACCGCCACACCATCACCACCACCAGCAACACCATCATCACCAGGACAACTAACCTTTCTGAAGCTCCATGTGGGGCGCTGGTCTAAGCAACGGGCAGATTCTCCTCGGGTGACCCTCACACGCGCCGTAGGACAGGCACGGTTCTCGTCACCTCCGTTTTTACAGATGAGGGAACTGAGATTAGGATAAATTCAGGGACTTTCTAGTGAGCGTCAAAGGCTGGTCTCCTGACACTTGGTCTCCTTCATTCGTTTGAAAAATATTTTCTCAGAGGGTCTCCTAGTACCAGGTGTCATTCTAGGGGCTGAGGGGACAGAACTAACAAGACAGAGGCAGGACAGCTCCATTCCAGAGTACATGTGTGTGCATGTGCATGCGTGTGCATACATGCATGCATGTGCATCCCTGCAAGCAAGCGTGCACGTGTTCATGTGGGTGGGGCAGGGACACAGACAGTGAAGAAGATGGGGTGACTCCCTCCCCGCAGCTTGTGGTCACTTAATAAGTGTTGATAAAGGACCAAGTGCGCCTAGATGTGGTGCTAGCTTGGGAACACAGTGCTAAAAAAAATGGGAGTTTTCTCTTCTGTGACATTCCCATCCGCTGGGAAGAGTCAGCACACGAGCAGACAGACAACCCCGCGGATAGCAGTGAGTGGTGGAAGGACTTCGGAGCCTGGAAGAGGGGAGACGATCACGGGGCGGGAGGGGTTCCATCCTGCACAGAGTGGTCACAGAAGGGGACCGCTAAGCAGCTCCCCAGGCGGGGGAAACGGCACGTGCAAAGGCCCTGCAGCGTTAGAGGTCTACGCTTGTGTTAGAAGAAAATGCAAGAAGACCCATGGGACCAAAGCAGAGAAAAGTGGGGGGACAAAGTGCTGGCGAGGGACAGTAGAGCCTGCGGGAGGCAGAGGAAGGACTCTGGGTTGTCCTGGCCGCCCAAGGAGCTGGAGGGCGCGGCGCTGAGGGTTACGCGGGAAGGCCCGAGGCGCTCTCGGCGACGCGGGAAAGGGATTGGTCCGCTGCTCCCCTGGCCAAGCGAGGCTGCGAAACGCAGACATACCAAGAGCCCTTCCCAGGCTCCCACGCCTGCCCCAGGGCCCTGTCCTGGGTGAGCTTTAAACACAAGACAAGCCCAACCCCAGACCCTCCAATGCACCGTTTCCAGCACAGCCCAAGGAGAGCCCTGATCCCTGGGATGGAGGACAGGGCACAGAAACACAAATAAGATTCTGGCGTCTGCTCCCAAGACCCAGACTGTTGGGGTCCGAGCTCCGGCAGCAGCGAGACGCCCGTTTTCTTCCTGCCCTCTGCGGGCACCTGTGTCACCTCACACGTCACCCCTCTCTGCTCTAGGTCAACAACAGAATGAATACCTTTACATATTTCTCTTTTAGAGTGCCAGTGACCTTTCCCAGGGGACAGGGCAGGAGGAGGTGGCCTCCTGCTGCGACTGTCCTGGCCGAAAGCGTCGCATGGGTAGGAGAGTGTCTGCGGAGTGTCCGGGACTCGGGTCCGCACCGTCTTTCTACAGCTCACAGCCCTGCCCGGGGATGCACCTTCCACAGTCCTCCTGACCCAGAAGCCAGCCCGTGTGCGTACAGGCCCTAAAGGCCTCCTGCCCCCCACGCCCCAGCCCCCTGCACCCAGGTCACCGGTCACATGGCAGGGCCACGGTTTTCACTGGTGACCTCGGTGAGACGCACAGGCCCTGCTTGGCAGGTGCACTCGGGGTCACTGTGGGCAACAGCCTCTGCCCAGTACCACCTCCTGTCTGTGACTTTTGTAAATGGACCAGGAGCTGTGGGAGGCAGGGATGTGAAGCAGTCAGCAGGCGACAGGAGAGGAGGGGGCTGGTGCTAGAGGCCGAGGAGAAGAAACGGGTCATTATAACGCAGCTTTTATTTCAAAAAACAAGCAACCCCAGCCCGACCACTTCCTGCCGGCAGCCACGGACGGCAGCTGCCCTCCCTTGCCCGGCTTCACTGCTTCTCTGAGTCCTGGGTTCCGTTTATTTTTCTGTGGTCCCCGGGCAGCCCTGGGCCCACAGGATCTGCTGTGAGCTCACTTCTTTGAAAGTGAATGAAGAATGTCCGGATCTCCTTGGGGTAGATGGTGACCACGGTGCCTCGACGGGGTCTGGGCAGGGAGCTGTGGTCACCTGGGGTGGGGCAGAGGTGGTCAGTGCAGCCCTCCTCCTTGGAGCTCCTGCTTCCCCAGGACACTCCTCCCCCCAACGCCACACCTGTCTACAGTCTGCTGTGGCTCCCACCGAGGTGACAGAGCTCGGCCGCCTCCCTCCTGCCAGGACCCCGCTGCCAGGGGGCCTCTTGCATCTCCGCCCTTCCCTGGGCACTCAGCCTGCGGGGCAGGTACCTGTAGGCTGGTCCTGGTCCTGCTTGGCCTCATTTCCCCTTGGGGTGTGGTACTGAGCGCCTAAGAGATTTTTCCCCGAGGCCCCTGGGGGGCCCTGCCCTTCATCTCTCAGGGCTCCACTGAAGCCATGCCCTGGAGTTCAGGCTTATGCTGTCCTTCCTTCCTTCCTTCCTTCCTTCCTTCCTTCCTTCCTTCCTTCCTTCCTTCCTTCCTTCC